TCAGGCTCTGCAAGAGATTCTTAAGAATTGAATTAGGAAGGATTTTTAAATAAAGGATTAAAAGGAATTGCTCTAGAGTTAGAAGTAAATGCTGTAAGACAGAACCATAGAGACACATGTGTTAGAAGAGAATAGAATAAAAGCTGCTTCAGCCCAGTGAGTTTGTGCCTAAGAGATAATAAAGAAGCTATTCTTTTGTATAGTTATGGGGAAAAAGTACGTGTTTGGGACTAAGGTTCTGAATGTCTAATGAGCTTCCAGGTGATACCAATGCACCTGGTCCACATACCACAGAGTGAGGAAGGAGAGTGTAGAAACAAAAGAGAAGTTCGTAGACCTGGATCCTGTAGTTCGGTTTTTTCTTTTTTCTTTCTTTCTTTCTTTCTTTTTTTTTGTTGTTGTTTTGCTTTGGTACCAGGGATTGAACCCAGGGGTACTTCACCACTGAGCCACATCCCCAGCCCTTGTTTATATTTTATTTAGAGACAGGGTCTCGCTAAGTTGCTGAGGCTGGATTTGAACTCATGATCCTCCTGCCTCAGTCTCCCAAGGCACTGGGATTTCAGGCATGTGCCACTTTGCCCAGCCTGGAAACAGACCTCTTATTCCCTCGGAAAGGCTTTTAGACTTCATTAAAAAGCTCTCCTTCCAGAACCAGTGCTGCCTCTGCAGATGACATAAGCTCACCTGGGGATGTGGCTGTTGATCAAAGAATAGGGAGTTCACTCTTGACCTCTGCTAGGTTTGGTCAAGTTCCTAAGGTGGCAGCACCTTTAGGTTGGCACGACCTCAGGATCCTATGATGCAAACCTTCCTCAGCACAGATGAGGACAAGGCCACCCTTGGAGCCATATGCTTTCACACTGGTTGATGGCAGAGCTGGGCTTATAGCCAAGGCTAAGTTCTGTTTTTTTTTTTTTTTTTTAATTTTTTTTCCAGGGGTGTGGTTTTTTAAGAAGTCTTATTAAAAGAAGTGCTGAGAAGAATAATGCATATGTAACACCCAGACTGCCTAAGCAAAAACTTTCTGTCTCTGAGATCCAGGACAGCCAATGGGTACCATTCATCAATCACAAGAACTGCAATTCTAAATAAGTCAGGTCCATCACTTGAATGTCTCAGGCATCATGAAGTACACCCATATTCACAGTAAAGATCTGTCTTTTCCTGTCCAATTCACTGGCTTCTACATCAAGGGGGAGATAGTGTTTTCTTCCTCTGTGTTCCCCACTTCAAGAGAACTGTCCTTCCCCAACTCAGCTCCTGACTCATTGAAAGGCTCACGACCTGGTAGGGCAAGTGATGGGAAAGAAGGCTGGGACACCTGGGCAGGTGGAGCCCACAGCAGCCCTTCCTTAGCTCTCTGCCAAGTTGTTTCTGCACAGCACCCTCAGAAGACAGATGTGTGAGACAAAGGGGAGGGAACAAACCAGCTGAGCCTCACCCACATCATGAATGACAACTTTCTTTCTTCAAGCACCAGAAGTCAGGGGCCTTCCTGGGGGTGATGGAGATTGCCTAAAGATCTGAGAGCAAGACCCCTGGCCACTGGGCCCAGTGCTAGAGGAGTCGGCAGAGCCAGGCCCAGGCCCAGAGAGGAAATAGAAGATAGGGACTCTGGTGTGTGTCTCTGGACAAATAAGTGCCATACATGTCACCTGGCCAGAAAGGCCCAGTCCTAGTAAGGACAGGATGCAGGGTGACTCGGAGGCCTGACAAAGACAAGAAGACATATCTGAGCAGATGTAACTGTGGATGAGTGACACCTGAGGACTAGAAAGAATGTTGTACTTTAAAATTAAAGTCCTAATCATCATCCTCCATATTCCCCTGCCATCCCCCCAGCATGGAGTTTGCTTCCTTGTGTATTGGGTGCTGAGACTTGGAGCAAATCATTTCTGCTCTCTCGGAAGCACCTTAACACTGAGGATGGATGGATTTATGCAAGGACTACTACATTTGGTGTTCTTTGAAAAGAAGACCAAATGTACTTTGTAATTTCTTGCATGAAAATAATATAAGAAAAATGAATGTGCCGGTTGTGTCACCAGATGACAGAAATGCCAGTTTCTGGAAAAAGAGGTCACTGCACTGGGTCTCAAATGGATTTTTCCAGAAACTACGATCTACTTGCTGAGTCTAATAATGCAGCTCAAAAGTACAAGGAGAGTGATTTTTTAAAATCTTGCTTCCAAAATGTGGATTTAGTCCTCATTGGGACTCATTTCACCTAACGTTTGATGAAAACTACTTCTTCAATTTCATTCCAGTTAAAATCACGTATAAAATTTAGCTTAAGTGGCAACTAAACTGGTGAAGTAAAATATGCAGTAGGTTACTATGGTGATTGCTAATTTAAAATAATTAGAGAAAATAATGAGAAACTATTTCCTCTCTTAAGGATTACAGATCCGTAAACTGATACCAGTCTATTTTTAGTGTACATAATCTCTGTAATGATGATAAAGAATTATGAGTACTTTAGAATGCTTTAAAAAGGTCTTTCAGATTGGGGAATTCAATCAACCCGGTACTTATATCAAAATTTATATTTGTCTTTATTAAATTTAAGTCAATTCCATGAAAAGAGAATTGGGATGTATATCTTAATGTAATCATTTAAAATAAAATTTTATGACTGAATATAAAGCCAAATTAAGATTGAAGACCTGTTTATAATCATTTCTTGACTCCCATAATTTCACAACTCCACCCTGATAATTCATCATTCAACAGTGGTTGCATAAGACTTGCTGCTCAGAAATCTTAGATGAAGGTACCCAACAGAACAAGCAAGCCTTGGTACAATATGGTACACACAGGAAAATAAATATGCCACATTACTTCTCATTATTTCATTCTTATAATGAAATATTGCCACAAACTGGCCACAATATTTAAGCATATGAACTCTACTGCTAACTTCAATAACAATATGTACTTTATTTCTGTTTAACAAAGGATATGTTCCAGAGAATTGAACAAATTGGCTAGAAACTGGGGAAAAAAAAAAAAAAAACAACCAACCAACTCAGTTCTTTGTTTATCTGGTTAATATGATGTCAAATGAGGAAAATCATCTGAAGAAAATCATCATTTGGGGTTAGCTCATCTCCAGGTTATCCAGACATAGGGCCACTGAGGGGTCATTTTCTCATTCCTTTTCTTATCCAGCCTCCCATGGGCCCCACCCATCATTCTTGGGCTCCTAACTTTGTTGACTTGGTGGGCTGCATCTCTCATTTAACTCTGAGCACCTGTAGTTTTGAATAGTAGATAAAGTTTCTCATGTAATTTGGAGTAAATGATTTGGGGGAAAATTGGCTTTGTGTGGGTGTACGTGCACGCGCAGTGCTGGGGATTGAAACCAGGGCCTGGTACATGCTTGGTCAGGGTTCCTACCCCTGAGGTACTCTGCCAGCCCCCAAACTGGGCTTTTTACATTCAGAGTTCTGTGGTCTCTCAAAGTCTTTAAAAACATCTATGAGAACCTGAAAGAGTAAACGAGGAATAGTTAATATGTACAGGGGTGCAGCTGAATAGAAGGAACAACTTCTAATGTTCTATAGCAGGGTTCAGTAACTATGGTTGACAACAATTAATTGTGTATGTCCAAATAGTAGAGAGGATGTTGAATGCTCTCATTAGATATGCCAATTACCCAAATCTGATTATTATATAAGTGTATAATATACCACATAAATATGTACAACTACTGTGTCAATTATAACTAAATTACACTTTAAAATAGAGTAAAAGAGGAAATTGAGTCTGAGAGAGGTTAGGCCACACACCAGGTTTCCATGTCAGGTCCTAGCGATGCCAGGGCATGATCCCAAGTTCTTGGACTTGAACCCAGGGATCTTCCTTATAAAGAGGTGCTGAAATCCAATGAGCAGATGGAGAGAGATTGGAAAAGCTGGGAATTCTGTGGAATCACCTATCAGGAAAATGGGCTCTGAAAGGAAGGCTGATTTAGTGCCATGGGGTTAATGAGAACAGCATCAGGAGAGATGTGCAGGCCTCCAGCTTCCTTAAAGGGTTTTACTCTGATCTTCATTGAAGGGTTTTACCCAAACTAACTGGTTGGAAGAGAGGTCCTTGGTAGCACACCACTTTTGAATGCCAATTTTTGATGCATGAAGTCAAAACTAGCTCCCAAACCTGATTATCTGGAGTACCTGTTCAGAACCGATTACAGACTCCTCCCAGGAGTTTCTGACTCTGCATGTTTGGTGTTGATTCTGAGAATCTGTATCTTTCTTTAAAATTGTAATTTGTTATATATGACAGCAGAATGCATTACAATTCATATTACACAAATAGAGCACAGTTTTTCATATTTCTGGTTGTACACAAAGTAGAGTCACATCATTTGTGTCTTCATACATGTACTTAGGGTAATAATGTCCATCTCATTCCACCGCCTTTCCTACTCCCATGCCCCCTCTCTTCTCTTCCCTCCCCTTTGCCATATCTAGAATTCATCTAATCCTCCCATGCCCCCCCCCCGCCACCGACCACATTATGAATCAGCATCCTTAAATTGGAGAAAACAAGAATCTGCACCTTTAACAGGTGTTCCAGGTGGCTCTTATGACCTGGACAGTAATGGAAACACTCATATAGAAGGGATCCAGAAACCATTTTTCTGGAAACAGGCAGTACCTATTTTAGGCATTGTAGGATATATGGTCTTGTTGTAGCTACTCAAATCTACCTCTGTAGCATGAAAATGACCACATATACCACTTAAATAAATGAGAGTGGCTGTGTTCCAATGAAGTTTCATTCACAAAAACAGGTGGCAAGTCAGATTTGGCCTGGGGGCTATCGTTTGCTACCCCCCCCCCCAAGTTAGGATATTCCCCCGATTCACTAATCCACCTAGGCAAAGTTGTGTGGTGACAGACATACTCAAGTCTGTCCTGTCAAGGGACTCTCTTAAGGTGTAGGAAGAGAACTGTTATAAATAAGTAAATATAACAAAAACAACTCACCAAAATATCAATGTCTCTAGGAAGGAAATTCCCACAGTGGATGCACCAACCACAACAATCCTGGCATTGACAGTTATTTTAGGTTCCAACGTTAGTTTTCTGTTTGTGTGGTTCAAGGCATAACTCAACTAGAAGAAAAGAGTACAGAGACATTGAGAAAAATGTAGCTGAGTCAGCAACCCCAGATTGTAATTATGTGGAATCATTTAATGAGAATATCACTGGCAAATCAAACCTAAAAATGCCCATGTGGCAGCCAAGGCAAAATATAGGGAAAGTATTTTTAAGAAATTAATGGGAGAATATATTAATGCCTAACACACACACACACACACACACAAAAATTGTGCTTGATTTGGATGATATTGTTTCATTGCGGAGAGACGTTTCCTGCAGAACTGAAATGCTTAATGATTAGAGATAACAAGGCAAAAAATCCTACAATTACACAACCAAGCCACTTCCTAAGATTCTGCAGTTCCTTGAAATGTCTCACCGTTTTCCTGACCAAGGTTTCCTGATCAAGGTTTTCTGACACTGTTGAGTGATAATTATTTTAGTTGGGTACTTTAAGACAAGTATTAACTTTTATTCATTTTTGTATCCCTCACACTACTTAACATGATACCTTGTAGACAGTTGGCCATCAATACTACTTCTTGAATGACAAACATTTGTTGAATGAGAAGGATTGTTCAGTGTTTTAGGGTATCTGAAAGTACAGAAGACTCTCAGAAGCACAGAAAGTAACTAGTGATCCCTTTAACGTCCATGTTTGCAAAAATTACCTGGATTAGTTGTTCAATTTTCTTTCCTAAAGAGGCTGCACTAAAATGTACAAAGAAAGATTTTACAGAAGTCAGAAGTCTCTAAATCCTAGTAGGTCAAACCAACTTTTTTTTGTTTTCTTAAAATCCTGAGATTCCAAGAGTTGGGATGCCCATAAGTTAATTTTGCAAAGTACTATTTTAAGTGGGCTCCCACCTACCTTCAGGTAGCATGGGTGTGGGCTAATGCTTTGCCATTTACCAAGTAGCATTTAAGTTTGAGAGGATAAATCCCCTCTCTCTAGCCACATGGAGATAGAAAAATATCTTCAGCCAAATTACTTTTTTTTAAGAGAGAGAGGAGAGGGAGAGAGAGAGAGAGAGAGAGAATTTTTTTAAATATTTATTTTTCAGTTTTTGGTGGACATCTTTATATATTTATTTTATGTGGTGCTGAGGATTGAACCCAGCACCCCGCACATGCCAGGCAGGCATGTTACCACTTGAGCCACATCCCCAGCCCAAATTACTTTTTAATAGGAATATAAAACAAGGTTCCTGGTGCCTCTCAGAATCTGACTCAATCCCTACTCCCACCTTTGAAATACCTGGGAAATATCTGGGAAGAGATTGGATTCACTCCCATCTTCAAGAAGGGGCCCAAGTCGAGAATCCCACCCTCCTTGCTCAATAATTGGTCTAGGATGGACACATGATTTAGGTTGGCCTAAGCAGAGTGAAGCCCAGGATTTTTGTATGATGATTGCAGAAAACTCTCTTGCTCTCTTGCACACTAGATGGTATGGGGTTGCAGATGTGAAGCCTGAAATGGCTACAGTCATCATGCCACAAAGTCAAAAACCATCTGGGCTCAAGAGAATCAGAGAAATAGAGCAGGAATTCCTTCCAAACCCTACCTGAATCCCATGCACTCTTCAGTTATATGAACAATACGTTATCAGCAGACATTGCCATCATAGTGCTGCACAGCAAACCCTCCAGAATGCAAATAAGTGTCACTTATTCTCACTCATAAAACTCTGGGTCAGCTGGAAGTAGGCTGGGCCTGGTTGCCATGAAACTTCCAGACCCACCTCACCTTTCTCTTTTTGGATGAGAGAGAGCTGGGGCATGAGCTTCCCATGGCAAAGGGAGAAATTTAAGAGGGTAATTGAAAATAAGCAATGCTTCTATTGCCTGTTGAAAGTCATGTGGTAGAGTGAAGTGGGTAATATACTCACCTCTAGCAAAAGGCACAGCTGAGGGAGGGATGGAAGGTGAGAATGAGGGAGCCTACATTTCCTCTATTGTTTAGGCCAATTTATTTATTTTAACATGCAACAGAAAACTTCCTAGACTAAGATACTTTCTAAATGAAAACAGTGAATATCCTTTGGGATGGCAAATTTCAGGTTTTTCAAATAACCGTCAGCTCTGATCAGCTCTATGAGGATTTCCCAGGTCAATGAGGAATTGTGCAAAGACTCTAGCTTATACTGGTTTATGTGGGTGTCCCAGTGTTTCCAAGACAAGTAGGCTGACAGAAAATTCACTCTAGCTAGCCTTGGGCTTGGTGGTTTAGAGTGAGGAAGGTAGGAAGTGTGTGAGCTGTTAGGATGGCATCTAATTGCAGGTCTAATTCACAGATTTTAAATGCAAGCAAGCATCTTAACAGAGGTCAGAAATCAAGATTCTTTCCATAAGGAGGTGCGTTCAGACATTCTCCTCTGCTGTCAAAGCTAACGTTGAAACATGGGCAGTAATGAAATTCCCTGGTAAAGAATTATACCTCATTTGTGAAACAGCTCCAGTATCAAGGATACAAAGGCGGCTGGGGAACAGAACAGAATGGCTTTTGTTTCCTACACAATAGCTTTAACACCAACAGCTGCCAGGCCTCAGAAATCACCTTTCTAACTGCTAAATACACAAAGTGGCCCTGGGTGTCAAGAGTTAGAGATCTGTACCAATGATGGTGGGTGTCTCAGGAGAGTGATCGGGCATCACAAGGATGCACAGTACACCCAATTTTACAACGGATTTTAATTGAAAACATATCTATCATCAGGTATGATAAAATAGTCTGACCTAAAATGAAAACATTTTTTTTGGTCCTAGATATCATTTTTATATGCCTTAAAAAAAGAATAAAGAAAGAAAAAAGAAATCTTCCCACCTCAGAAACCTTTTAATGACAAATGGTAAATGAAGATGGCTTTTGCTGCTGGTTAATTTTGTCCATAAGCAGGAAATACACATTATTTTTAATAAAAGCAAAATGTTTCCTTCCTTTATATTCCTTCAAACTACAGGTTTTCATGGCAAAGAAAAACATTTACCCCCCCCCCCAAAAAAAAAAGTTCCATGCATAGGGAGATCTTGTCTGGGATCTGAGTTTCTTAGTGGTGAAATAAAAAGAAAAATCCTATCTATTGACTTATATTTTGTAGACAGAAATTGAATGTGCCTTGTAATAGTGAATTGTTTCAAAGATTGAAGAGAGGGGACTATAAGCTATTTATCTACATACCATAGCAATGATAACATGGATGAGCAATCAGCCTCTTCCATATTCTTTTCAGACATTTCTGATTCTATTTTCTAATGACAAAGGGATGATCTTCAATGCAGAGATCAACGTGTACCCCAGTAAGAAGGAATAAGCCGTGCATTTCGATGTATAAGCTAACCTTTTAAGGTTAAAAGAAAAATGTTCCTTAAAATTGATGTGGACGATTATAATGAGTTTAAAATACATGCAAACCTTACCTTCTATCCCTCAGATAGGAAAGGAAGGTGATAATATGGGACACTCCTGTTAGGAGGGGAGATTTCCCAGGAAAAGAGACAGTAAAGGTCAGTTGGGAGAGGAGAGGGGTTGAGATGAGAAAGTTGGAAACAGAAGTGAAAAGGCATTTAAGTACTTTTTAAATATTTTTTTAGTTGTTGATGGACTTTATTTTATTTATTTGTATGTGGTGCTGAGAATCAAACCCAGTGCCTCACGCATGCTAGGTAAATGCTCTACCGCTCAGCCACAACCCCAGCCCAAGTTTTAACCTCTTTATCTGTAATTTCCATTGGGTTTTTGAGAACAGAAGACTGTACATGTGCATGATGAGCCATCTGTGGTAGTGTTTGGTCACTTATATCTATTTATTTTGTCAGCCACACTTCAGTGGACTTTCTTGTTCCTGGAGGTCAGGAGTTACATCTTTGTTTTATTGTATCTGAACACATCCTGGCATACATTTGGGGCATTCAATAAATGGTAAAAGATTAGATATGCTAGCTTTGCATTTCTTGAGTCCGTTTTAAAGGGTGTGATGCAATTTCTAATATCCATGATTATTTTAGTTGATTCTTTTTCAGTTCCTTAAATGACCAAACAAGGGATTTAGAAGTATTTGAGGTTAAGTTTGGCATTATTAGTAAAAATGATGTTGATATGCATACTTGGTTGAGTTGATGCTATAACTCACCTACATTTATTAAGAGACCTCAAGGTACATAATTTTGAATTTTATACATATTCGTTACCTGTTCTATGTCTATAGAAATTGACCATATATAACTTTACCTGACATATATAGGCCTGAATTCCACATCTCCACATCTGATTTGGTTTCTTCACAGTACTTAGAATGAGTTACAATGATCACAATAGCATTATTGAAAGTCAATTTCAATAATATGTCCCAATCAGAAGCTACTAAAATACAAAGAGGCCAGTAAACTATAAATGTGTCAAAATAAATACAAATGATCCCACATAATAAATGCAAGGTTCATATGAAAATGGAACATGACAATATCTGTGGTGCTTTTCTTCTATTTCTTTTGGAGGTACCAATCAAATGGTGGGATCATCAGACTGGGTGTCATTAGTCTGGTGGTAAGGTTTGGGCTTGTTTCCTTAACTCTGCTACTGGTTGAGATTCGGAGCCTCTTTTCCTTAAACATCGGTTTCCTCAGTTATAAAATGGAAGTAAATTATACCAACCTCTGCCTTCCTCAGCAGGCAAACATGGGAACTATTCATTTAAAAATGTCTACAAATACTTTGAGCTTTTCAGGCAAAGATGTTACACAAGGTAAAATTGCACATCCTCTCTCCCATCTGCAATATGAAAGGCAAATCTTTGAAAAATACGTTTTAAAAGGGCAAAACAATGAGCTCAATTTTCAGCTCACACCCATGTGTATATATATTTTTTTCTTACAGAAAGCTTCCAAAGACTTCAAAGGGAGCTCTGCCCATGCAAGAAAATGGAAGATGGAGAGATTCAAACCCATTAGGAATAAAATTTCTGAAATCCTTAATAAGCCTACTTTTGCTTTATAAATGTAATGTTTTTTTC